GGGTACATGTTTGTTACTTCGGTCAATCGGACTGCCTAACATGATTGGTGCTCATTTTCTAAAGGCGGGGCCAACCTAAAGTTAGGTACTCTACTCTGAAATCTGTGAAAGGGAATCTAGTATCATGTAGACAAAACGTCCAATGTAACACTCATTGATTATGTCATTGAGAAAAATCGTCCAATGTAACATGTCCGATGTACAACTTGACTAGTCAAAACGTCCTATGTGTTCTATATTGTAGCATGACATTCAAAGTAAAATTGTGATTTTACCGTTTTTAATGAATTTTTAACGTTATTATTCACTGACTACATTAAAAATGGCATTGCAAAATGTATTGTTTCTAAACAGTTAAAATAATGATCTGTCGAACTACAACTTCGATTTTCTCAAAATGGTGGATATGTTACATTGGTCTATTTGAAAAGTGAAGCGAGAAATGACGTAGCTTTTAGGCTGTGAACCATTTGCCGAGCTAAATTTAACTCGTGGTTAAAAGTGACATTTCGAAAGTTATTTTCTATAGACGAGTGCACGGATGGATTTGAGTTCACTCACTCGAAAAAAAGTGACACAACAGCGGGGCCCTGTTTACTAAAAATGAACACATATGTGTTCATTTTTAGTAAACAGGGCCCCGCTGTTGTGTCACTTTTTGTCGAGTGAGTGAACTCAAATCCATCCGTGCACTCGTCTATGTTCGAAAATCCCCGTGCTGTCGATCGACCGGTTTTGGAGCCACGGTTGTCAAAATCTAACTTTTTGTCTGTCAGAAATAACCATGCTCGGATAGCAGGGTTAATCGATAACTTTTCATCTATCAAATTTTAACCAAAAGTTAAAATAATCCACCAAATGGTTCAGAGCCTTAATAGGCTCTTTTCATGCACCATCAATGTACATGGAAAGAAAAAAGTACCCAACGGCCAGTTCACTTTTACCTACTTTTGATTAGTTTGTCTCCTTTTCTCCTTCTAATGTTGTCAAAAACGGAGGAGCAAAACCACCCAACAGGGGTAGTCAAGTGTGGGAACCCAACGTTGAGTATAATCATAGAGGTAACGAGAGAGCGTTCTCGAGTGTAGCTTCAGTGAAAACACAGAGTGAAGCTCTACGGTGGATATTTTGAATTTTGATGGGGGAGATTAATAGCATTAAACCATCTATTTTAAGATGGGTTAACTAAAAATTCAATTGGATTTCACGTAAGCATTCTATATTGAAAAGTAACGAAACAGTCCCAAAAGAGCGATCCATCCCTGCCAGAAACGCAAATTAAAAATGAACCCCATTAATAGGCGCGAAGTGTCGTTCAGATCAACGGGGGTCTACGGTATACTAAATATCGAATTGAAAGTCGTATGCATGATAATGTTCGCACCATTAAGCAATGTCAAAATTAAAAAAAATTTCAAAAATTTCGTTTTCGAGTTTTTTTTTTTATTTATTCAAAGGAGGGATATTTCTCAGAATCTTAAACTATGTTAATCATCCATCGAGTTTCCACTTGCTGCATTTTCTTTTATACACAGCCTACTACGGTATGAACTGTAGGTTACGTGTATGCAAAGAAAACACCTGCATTGTATGCACAGGTGAAACGGGAACCTTATTTGTACGATGGTGCAAACATTATCACGCATACGGTATATACGTATTAATTAACTTCAACTTTCAACTCGTCGGGTTAAACCCATAGCCCATTTAGTGACCGGCTTTCGTTAGTTGGGCTGAGCTGTCAAAGTTGAAAATTGTTTGGGAAAACATCCATTGCTCATTATCATCCAAATCGTTTAGCAACTATCCAAATTGTTCTTCAATGAGCCCCTCGAAGAGGAATCAGAACTGTCAGAAATGACGTTTGACTTCGATTTAGGTGGGCTACAGTCCAACTAACGGGAGCCCAACGAGCGAAATACGACTGTATAGGGCGAACACGAAATTATTGCAACACAGTAAATTTACTATGTAATCTTGTTAATAGATATATAAAAAAAAAAAAAACTATGTGATCTAATGTTTTTATCGGATAAAAAACGAATTTGTAGGGAAGTTTGATACATGTATTTTGCTCAGTTTTATATTGGATCAATTATTCTTTGGTTAAATTCTCGACACTTTCGCTACACGCATGTCATTTGCATCCTTTACTTTCTCCTTTGTATTTCTGAGTTAATTCCCGCTTCATCATGTCCCAATAGGATTCGATTGGACGTTCAGGGCAGTACGGTGGATTCACCTCCTTGGGGACAAAATGCACCGAATTAGCCTCATACCATTCCAGCACAGTTTTAGAATAGTGGCATCAAGCTAAACCCGGCCAAAATAGTGGGTTTTCATTGCGCTGCTCCAAAAATGGCAAAAGACGTTGTTGGAGGCATTCAGTCTTGTAAATTTCGCCATTGATGGTGCCTGTTATGACGAAAATTTCACTTTGACTTCCACAGGTGCAGATAGCCTGCCAAATAAGGCATTTCGGTGAGAATTTTAACATTTTCTTCTTTTTGAAACGATCATCCACTTAGAACTTATCTTTTCAGCTTTGACGCATGTTTCAGCTACTGTATCTGGTCAATATCTTCGTGTAGAGCTACCTAGCGCGGGTCTTTGCAATAGTTTGCTGGCGTTCATCGTGGTTGGAAAGTTTCGAACCTTGTATGCATGTAATCCAGCTCTTGCCTTGACCTTCCGGACGTAACTTTGCGAAACGCCGACCTTTATGGCAACATCACGTGTTGAAATGTTGGGATTTCGGGTGCAATTACCCTTAACCTTTTCCTCCGTCTTCCTACATGCTGCTCCCGGTTTCCTTCCGGCTCTGCGTTTGTGGTTCAATGTGAACTGGTCCTTGGACCTTTTTAGTACTCTTGAGACGGTTGAATTACAGATTAGCAGCATTTTTCCTAAAGCACGATATGGGACTTGTAAGTGTTGCAATAATTTCGTGTTCGCTCTTTAGTGCTTTAAGGTCTGTATCCACATTAATCCGGACACCTTCAAATCACTGTAACTTTTGAAATATTGCACGTAGGAGCGAAACGATTCGTGTTAACACTCCATGTTTAGTGTCCAACATGGCGACGAATGAAAAACACGTGCGCGAGCGGATTTTGTACGGACGTAATGCAAATTTGCCTAAATCCACTGTTCACGGTGTGCTCAAATCATTTTCGGAACGCTTGACGGCCGAGAGGAAACCGAGAAGTGATAAAAACATTAGACGTGCTGATCCTGAAACCGAAGAGGATATTGAAGGAAAACCTGAATCTCTCTGTTCGAACGGTGGCTCGTAGAATAGGAATGTCACCTGGTTTTGTCCAAAAATCAAAACAGCGTTTGGGACTTCAGTCGTATAAAATAAAAACAGTTACAACAGAATCTACGTTTGTACTGCAAATATTTGACGAAATTTTCATGCGTTGTTATGGACGATGAAACTCATGTCCTGGAGGATTTCAAGCAGCTTCCAGGGCTGGCTATTTACTAGACTATTTACTATTTACACCACTCCTAGTACTTGGCACTGATGAAGTCTGCAAGTAGTAGACGAAATATACGTATCTGTCAAAAGATAAGCAATTATAACGGAATTTAAAGGAAATAAACCAACACACTCAAAGCTCTTCATCTTAAGAGTTACCAATTTAATTCGTTCAAACAAATCTGAAGGCTGTTCAACTGGAGTTGCTCTTCTAGACATAGAGAAAGTATTCGTGTTTGGCATGAAGGGCTGATTGCTAAATTGAATAAGCTTAACTTTCCACTCTATATTATGAATTTAGTTCAAAAATATTTAATGCGCGTATGTGTCAAGGATAAGCAAACAAGGTAGTAGTATTAACTGGAAAATACTAATCCTTCTCTCTCTCTCTCTCTCTTTATACAGGTATTCCACTGAGACGCCCACATTCATCAGAACCTAAAAGATGTTTGGGTGAATTGCAGAAGAGACAAATTTTAAAGAAACTTTCTTAATTTTAAACATCAAAGAAATTCAGCAATTTTTTAAGAAGCTCAAGGAATTATTGTAGTTTAGGTAATAGCAGAAAGACTCAAGGAACACCTCAAGGCAAAATATGAAAACTTCAACTAAGAACTCCAGAAAGGATAATAAGTCTCTTTGAAGACGTTCAAAAGATCCTCAGGCAAGCTTAGAGTAATTTTAGAGATGTTCAAATCAACCAAACAGTAGTTAAGAATTCTTCAAAGAAGCTTGAGGACTTCAAACGAAATTAATAAATTTTGAAATGCCTAGGAAATTACTATTAATATCTAAGAAAATTACAGGACATTCAAGGGATTAAAACAAACCTCAAGGAACCTCAAAAATTATTCAGAAACATAAAAGAAGTTCAGAAAAGAATCTCATGGAAATACGACACTTAGTGAAAGATCCAAAAGTTCTGGAAAAGTTCAAGATAGGCTCATGAAGGTACACAGAACTTTCAAACCCCGTTGGGACATTTATCATATTCCTAATTAAAAAGTTTACTTTAAACCTTTGAATTAAAGTTGAAGCAAATTTGGAGCTGGTTTTGCTTCAAATTTCTCGTAAAACCCCCTAAAACTGACAGCGATTTGCAATTGGTAATTATTAAAAACAATACAGAGAGGTACCGTCGTTTGTGGATGGAATTTTAACCGGTGTTCTTTTTTTCTGGTCATTTGTGGTCAGTATGCTTACTACCAAAGATCAGACAGCTAGGAATTGAGAAAAGGAATAAAGGCTAAAATTCTATCTATCCGCAAACACACCTTTCTGTATGATCATTTGCAACACAGCAAATAACATTACCCCCCTTCCGCTCTCACTATTCCAAAACAAACAAAAAATCAGACATTTAATTAGCTTAACACTCAAAAGGCTTCAACCGAAGCCTTCGATACATAATTCGTGCCTAGTGACCGCACAACTGGATCTCGAATGCTGAGCTCCAAATGTTCACGCACACAACACGCCAACAGGGGAATTCTTTCACAATGACCTCACTCAACTACACTTTCTTAGCAAATTAAGTATCTTCCATACTCGAAACTATAAACCTAGTCAACAGGTGGAGTTATTTTTCATTGCATATTATGCCGCGCGAAATCGGACGCCTCTTTCAGTGCCCGATCGAGTAACGTTTCGAATTGAAGCGTTTTCACCTTCCGGCTCTTCATATTACTTACCTCGGCCGGATTCTGCCCTTTTGGAGCTGCCACGCCGGATTTGAACACGCTACCTACCGTTTTGAGCCACTTTTGAGCGTCGAACTGCTCACTGATGCAAGCGGGCGGAACCGTAGCCCTTGCCTTCACTTGATCGTCGGTGATGCTAATCACCAGAATCGGACGATCCGGGAAGTACCGCGTCGCTTTGCTCAGCTGAACTTCTTCCAGGATGATGGAGCTTTCCAGGAAGTGCACGATGAACGGATTCGAGGCGAGCGGATATTCCTGCTGGAGGTTTTTCATTTCAATGTCGATAAACTCTCGGAGTGACTCGCGGGTGTGGTCTTTCAATCGCCGGAACAGATCATTGATTACGTCCAGGCACCGTTGCCGAACGGCGTACGGAAGATTGATGTTGTTCTCGGACCCGACTAGAAGGACATTTTTCAACCGCTGCATACGGGCATCGACGCTGTTCATATCCTCGACCAGTTGCTGGTCCATGTCGTGTTTCAGTTGATTGACGTCGGTTTGAATTTGTGCACCCAACTGGTGCGCTTTGATGGCAGCTTGACCGGCAATGGCAAAGAAGGTATAGCAGCCAGATTTGGTTTGCGTTACGTTGGTGATGCAAAAGTCCCGCAGTTCTTCCGTTGATTGTGCGTGCGTTCCACAGCAGAACTCGGTCGAGGTGGAATCACCGATTTCGACTAGTCGGAGCCCTCTTTCCGGGTAGATTTCGCCAGGGATCATGGTGACCTAGTAATGAAAATTTCGATGATTTGACATAAATTGCATTGTGGTACTTTTTGAGGAAAGTAGGTACTAACCTTATCCAAATCGACATCGCTGGCAGAACAAACACGAACCCTGACCGGTTCGTTATGCTGGATATGCTGTCGAATGTGCTGTTCCATAGCATCAACTTCGTCCGGTCCAATCTTTGCGCCACAGACTGCCAGTTCCAGCTTGAGTCCTTTATCGCTCACGAAACTAGATCGCTGACACATCGGTACCCGGAGGATTTCCCTGGCAGAGGCATTCAGCAAATGCGTAGCCGTATGGTGAATAATGTTGGAACTTCGTTTCGCCGAATCAACCGTCAGAATGACTTCGTCGCCAACGGATAACTGTTCCGCGACTCTACCATCAACGGAATGTATGACGAACCCTTGAAGCTCGCTCACAGCCTTTACCTCATACTGTTTTGACTGGTCGGTGGACAAAGCTAGACTTCCCCGATCACTCTGTTGGCCCCCGGATTCAAAGTAAAAGTTGCTTTTCTCGGTTATCACATGGCACAGGGCGCTATCGCCTCCGGGCGTAACTATTGAGGTAATCTTAGTTCTTAACTTGGGAATCTCGTATGCATGCCTATCTCTGTTGTACACATAATTGTACTTGTACTCATTCCTAGTAGGACAAAGTTGTGCTTTGGTTAGGTCGTGTTTTATATCTTGTGAAGCCGTCAAGCTTTCTTGCAGGCGAGTAGCAAGTTCGAGTTTCGCTCCTTCCTTCACTTGCTTGGAATAATGGTTGTAACCGATCATATCCAGTTTCAGTCGTTCGGACTCAGCTATTTTGACCAACAAGTCTTCATCTAAGCCGTAGGTATCGAACATCTTGTGGATCAATTCGCCATCCAACGTCTGTACCCCGTGCTTGGCTTTTAGCCTTCGGATCTCTTTCAGTGCATATGGTAGACCGGGATGATCAGTCACTTCGGCTTCATCAAAGTAGGAACACTGTTTCAGCAGCTCACGTGATTCGGAAGACAAATTCGAGCAAAGCTGCCGGTAGGCTTGCTCTTCGTGCTGAATGATTTGTTGCGTTTGTGATAGCTTTTTTTGCATCTCAGGATAGGTGTCGCCTAGTATTTCCACTACAACCGGTACCAATTCCTGCAATAACGTAGGACAGGAGAAAACACGATCCGATAATGATAGCGATCGTCTTATAATCCGACGCAGTTTGTGACTGGAAATATTTTTTCGTTAGTTAGAAGAAAATGCCAACCGTTTCAAAATCTCACTTTTGCGAGGGAAACATTCCATCCGATAGGCACGCAGTAATCATTCTTGAATGATCAGCGACGATCCGGTAGGCTGTATCTAGTTCGCAACGCGAGTCTTCTATGTCAAATACCCCACGATATTCGACCTTTCTCGATGCCTGTGAAAAATAAAATTAAACTTAACTTATTACCTCTATTAAATCATTCTAAATCTAACCTTCCGTATACGATCGAGTATGGGCACAAACAAATCTGTATCGTAATTGCTATTCTTATGCTGCAGGTGGGCGACCAACCGCTCCAAACCCAATCCCGTATCAACGTGCCTTTGAGGTAGATCGCTGATCCGTCCGTCGTCTAAACTTCGGTTGTACTGAATGAACACAATGTTCCACACTTCAGTCAGATCCGGAATTCCGGCGTTTACTAAATGCTTCCTGGTAGCTGTATCCATAAACCGATCGGAGTGATCGATGTGGATTTCCGTACACGGTCCACACGGACCGGAATTACCCATTTCCCAGAAATTATCACGAGCTCCGAACGGTAAAATCCTTTCCGATGGAACGCTGCAAAATAAAATCGTGTGAACTTACCTACACCGCTCTATTAGGAATCTATTTAAAAACTCACCCCAATCCAGCCCAAACATCCCTGCACTCTAAATCCGCTGGCAGTCCCATCGCTTCATCACCTCCAAAGTAGCTCACATACAACCTCCTCCGGTCGATCCCGTACACGTCCGTCAGCAACCGCCAAGCCATTTCGCACGCCTCCCTCTTGAAGTAGTCCCCAAACGACCAGTTGCCCAACATTTCGAAAAACGTATGATGGTACCCGTCGCTACCGACCACACTGACATCGTTATGCTTCCCACCGACTCGGATGCACTTTTGCGAATTTACCGCCCTCCTGCAGGGAGCTTCCGCCGTGCCCAGGAAAACATTCTTGAACTGATTCATCCCGGCATTCACGAATGCAATGGTCGGATCACTGAACGGGACCACCGCACTGGACCGCACGAACCGGTGACCATTTTCGTGCACAAAGAAATCCACGAATCGTTGGCGGATTTCCTTCGCACTCGGATGCTGCTGCTGCTGCTGGTGCTGGCGGGCGCCGCCGTAGGAACGGGCGATGTAGTGCTTGACGGTATTGAATGGTCTCGGTGCACGCAACAAAGGATAAAACATGCTCACCAGAGTCGTTCTTCCAGGTATTTTTTAGCACAAATTTATTCCAAAATTTCACAAAGATAGCGGAGAGTAGTTGAGGAAAATCACCGGTCACGCAAGACGTGTTTACATCGTTTTGACGTTTTTCAAAGATGATGCTGTGACACCGCGGTGTTGAATGACCGGTTACGGATAGGGATGCTCAGTCAGTGTACTCGCTAGTGTCGAGTCGAGTCTGAATTAAATTTATTGGCAAATCAAAGTTGGCTCCCGTGGAGAATAGAAGAACATCAAGAACTATGAAAGTGATGATGGTTTCAAAATTTTCCACGGGGGTAGGTATACGAGTGCAATCTTAAAATCCATTTATTTTTTGAATAAAATCAGGTTAATGTTACGATAGTAGAAAACTCAAGGGCTACTAATAGAGCTAATAAACTATAGAGGAAGAATGGCGCTGCCGTCGCTGTCGAAACATCTTTTCCTTACATCTAATAGGGACACAACTGTCAAAGCGAGAAAAAACTATGCAGTTTCCCGAATAGAAATTTACATTAGCCCAACGTTTGATTTTGATGTCTACATCAGCATCGAAATCAAATGTATGCCTGATGTCAAACATTAGAAAACATTATGATTTAGTTGTATTTAAGCCGAGATTTAAGCAACGTAACATCAACCGGTGGAAACTAACGATTTTAAATTGGCTCACTACTTGACTAGCCTATTGGTCCCAAGCAAACGATTAACGTATCCCATTGTAGTCCAAAGTCTAGTACTACACTATGTTTGTTTTGATTCACTATGAAAGTTTGACAGACAAAATGAGGGGTTCGTGGATTTTCCTATGTTTCGAGGGCTGCATCGATTAGCTTGGGACCGAAGATAGTACCAGAGCTGAGCCAAAAAGTTGAACACGTTTCTTCGGGACCTTCTAGTCTTAGAGTTACCTCTATGGTAACATGGTGCATACATCAGAAATTTTGGAACAAAATTTTGCCATTCTAATGTCGGTCTGACGTCAAAATTTTCAATCTATTGACATTAGAATCAAACGTTTTAAAGCTGTTTTCGGATATACAAAACGTTAGAACTAAACCATGTTTAAATGTTTTTATATGTAAATGTTTTCTGATGTTTTTTAATGTAGAAGTTTCCTGATGTTAGAACCAAAGTTGAAAAAGTCATGAAAAAACACCAGCATTCACTATGAAATGAATTTTTCATCCATAGTGAACTTTGATGAATTTTAGTGATTTTTTCAGCCCTGAGTGCAATCTTAAAATGCTTTTATTTTGCAAATGAAGCATTTTATTTTAATCTGGTTAATGCTACGTTAGTAGAAAACTTAAGGACTACTCAAAAGACATATAATATAGAATAAATTACATCTTTTCAGATTTTTAGGTGTAGACATTGATTTGAGCTTTTCTACCACTGTAGCAGCAACCAGAATTAAATAAAATGCTCCATTTGCAAAATAAAACCATTTTAAGATTGCATTCGTACACTCAAAAATATTACTAAACTTGAAAAGATTAAAATTTATTCATTTTATGTTTATCCCATTTTTATACATTGATTCGATTAAAATTTATTTCAAAATTATACTAAATCCGAATAATGGTGCAAAATTCTGTCAGTGTATACCACTGATTAAGGTAATCGTGACGGGGTGATAAAATGGCAAAGCTAGTCATCCATGTATGTTGATCACATTAAAATCCACAATGATGTCAAGGAGCTGGTGAACAAGAGCAACGAGAAACCGGTGCAAAGCGTTTTCTTGGACAGGATTGAGGTCAAGTATCTGTGTGACGTTGAACCGCAGGGAGTCGAATAGCTCTTCTGATAGAAAATCTGATTGCGCAGGTTCTAACCAGTGTTTTTTGTGTTGTTTTTTAAAAGCAATAGCAGTTACAACGAGGTTAAAACCTTAACGTTTATCTTTTAGACATTGAGATCCATCCACTGAAAAGCCAAAATCTCAAGCTGAAGTTGGCGGAGATGAAAAATTTAGACTAATTCCGAAACCCACTGCTCAGTCACGATGTGATTCTCAATTGTCGTTACGTGGAATCCGGAGCGTATCAGCAATGAGTATCCAATCTAAGTGGTTGGATCAGTATCGCTTTCATCAAATCGAAGATGTATCGAATGAGAGGTTTGTTTATGCCTGACGTTATTTTGTAAATATCCATTTAGTGACTATCGCACTCTTTCTTCCAGATTGATACTGATGCTTCTGGTCCCACTTATTACCAACCAGGCGATACCAACGATTGTTGACATGCCGCTTTTTCAGAGCATGTTCATCGTTATGTACGTACAAATTAAACTGCGTCTGCGTTCCGAACATAAATTGGCAATCCTCTGGACGACAACCTAAATTGCTACGAAAAGAGTGACGAAGTTATCACCAATCTTTAGATTGCACGCGTTAAAATCTAGTAAAGCTAATTGGTATCAGACGAGAAAATCCATAGTATTGAGGTGCTTTTTGTGGACTACGGTAATCGGGAACGGATCAAACATAACTTGGAAGTCCCCCCAGCATACCAGATCGTATGAGATGAAGCTGAGAGTATTAGATTAAAGTAATGACATCTAGATCGTTGATTTCCGGGTCCAGTGATTACAGCGTTATGTAGGTGCTGAATGGCAAACAGCTCACGAAGAACTTGGATCACGAAGAGATTGTAAAATAGGAAGACGGCGGTAATTCACAATGCGGAAAATGTCTCATTGGGTGGTCAGATGATTTAAATCGGCTGGATCTAAATTGCTCTTTACTCGGCGTATTTTATAATATTAAATTATGTATGGAGTTTATTTATATTAAAAATAAATGTTATTGATTATTTTAAATTTGTTTAAACATTCATGAAAAAGCAACGAATGGCACAGAACTACTAATACATTTACCAAATATAGCCACACTATACATCATTCGCATATTTGCAGTTTATACTGTTGGATGTATAATCCATTTTTATACTAAGTTCATATTCTCTCTCTTTATACCAAGCTATGCGTTTGTCAGGAGAGTTGCGATTTAGCGTAGCTTTTATACTATTAAGATTTGAATATTTTTTGAGTGTATACCTCGCCGTGGAAAATTTTGAAACCATCATCACTTTCATAGTTCTTCTATTCTCCACGAGTGCCAACTTTGATTTGCCAATTAAACACTCAGCGGCAGCGTTGCTGCTCGTTACTTTCTAAGATAAAGCACATCAGTGACAACATTTTAAACCAATATTAGGTAGAAATGCCGTAAATTCTTGAAAAAGCACTTTACTAATAATCTTAGTAATAAGTAACGTTATGTATGGTTAAACAAAACCGATATTTTGGGTTTTACTACCTAACTAAACTAAACCTAATTTTAGGCATTCTTATCTTAGCGTGTAGATTAAATTTGAGAGTATTGCAATCGAACAGAAATTCAATCGCCTTTATGTTTCGTGTGCTTCTCAAATTCAACTAGTTTTTGGAATCAAAAACAACATTCTAGCTCAATTGATTAATTGATCTTAGTTGGTTAACTAATAGCACCAAAAAATGTGCAAAATATTTTGCACGTAAATCGAATCAAAATTAAAAGTCATTTGAAATGCTAGCTTCTAGCAAGGGTTGCAAGATAATTTAGTTACAAATCTCAGCTACCGAATTGTATTTTGTTTTCTCCAACCATCTCTCCCTCTGAGTATTTTTACTTAATGGGTACTCTTTAGTTAGCGTGTATAGAGATTTTCACGTCCGGTTGTATTGTGCGATATGTGAGAGCGTGTTAGTGAATATCTGAGGAAAATACATAACAAATCGATGTCAAACTCATTTTGACAGATCTACTTTCATACATTTTTTAGGTTAGCTAGAGGAAAATAATAAACAACTTTACACGGCGTTGCTCCCGCTAGTGTGCGAGCGTTAAACCACAGACAAACAGACGTAACTCTTAGAAAAACTTGTTCTTGAAAACATAGAATCTCAAAACATATAACCTCAGTAACGACATCTCTCTGGCTTCTCGCGGAAAACAAGCTTGCTCGCTAACTCGTAAACAATATTGCAAAGAAGTTCTATAGAATATATAGAAACGTCAAAGTGATCCGATGCCAGCGCTGCGGCGAGTAGTTCGCGGAACTGATAATATTCAAATCAACCGTTAAATGCATGAACGAAGATACACAATGAAGAGTTACGTCTGTTTGTCTGTGGTTAAACGTCACTAATCTCTATTGAGTCTTTTGTAGTTATTATTGGTTATATTGCGATCATCGTGTATTGAATTCGACTAATCAATGTAGTCAAACCTGGCGACTTACTTGATTTTCGACCTCGTAATCGATACCCTATTTTCGTCTCGCCAGCCACAGTACTGGAAGATTACGTAACAAAACATTTAAAGGTAAACAATCTCTTTTATGCAGCTCAGATTCAATAAAAACAGATCAAAATTAAGAAACCTTCTGTAAAAAGTATGCAATCCCTTCTCACAATGAAACAACTTTGAACAGAAAACGGACTTCTTTTGGCAATTCAATAAACGCTCTTTAGTTCAATAGTTCGTAATATATTAGCAATACGTTTTGCTTGGAACTACTCATCTAATAGCAATCCAGACTTAACCGATAAACATTTTGACAATGTGTACTTAAAAGCAAAAAGACACCGGAACGTGCCCGTTCCGCACTGCGCCCAAAGTTTAAGCCTTTTCACTGGCCTTCTCTCGTGCCTTCTTGCCCTCAACGAGCCCCGATCGTTCCTTGTCGGTCAGTGGCGAAAGCAGCTTGGTGACAACGCCGGTTCCCAGGGTAATGTGTCCATCGCGAAGGGTGAATCGCTGACCCTGCTCAATGACCATGGGCCTCATCAGACGCAGTTGCAACTTGGCATCCTCACCGGGCATGACCATCTCCTTGCCGGGAATCTGCACCTGTGTGGCACAGTCCCACGTACGCGAGAACATCTGCAGCTGGATGAAGCTGGTGAATGGCTTGTGGCGACCGCCTTCCTCCTTGCTCAGAATGTACACCTGGGCTTCGAAGTTGTCGTTGGCTTTGACCGAACCCGGTTTGCACATCACCATACCACGCTTGATGTCGTCACGTTTGATACCACGCACCAGGGCTCCTAGCTGATCGCCGGCTTGGGCTTCCTCGAGGATTTTGTGGAACATCTCGATGCCGGTGATGGTCGATTTGATAACCTGTTGGAAGCGATGGAATGTTTCACAAGATTGAAAGGCCCGTAGATGTGGATCTTACCTTGTTGTAACCGACAAATTCGCATTCCGTGCCCTTCTTGAGCGTTCCACGCTCCATACGTCCAGTGACAACGGTACCACGTCCGGGAATACTGTGCACCGATTCGACCGGCAACAAGAACGGCTTGTCCAAGTCCCGAGTCGGCGTCGGTACGTATTTGTCGACCTCTTCCAGCAACTTCTTCACCGCATCGGCTCCGATTTCCGGACTCTTGCCCTCCAAAGCGCACAAAGCCGAGCCCTTGATTACGGGAACGTTGTCTCCATCGAAACCCATCTCCGACATCAACTCACGGATTTCCATCTCCACCAGATCCACCATCTCCTGATCGGCCGCATCGACCTTGTTGATGAACACGACGATGTGATCGACTCCAATCTGCTTGGCCAGCAGCAGATGTTCTCTCGTTTGCGGCATAGCACCGTCGGTAGCGGCCACTACCAGAATTGCACCGTCCATTTGAGCCGTTCCGGTAATCATGTTCTTAATGTAATCGGCGTGTCCCGGACAATCGGTATGGCCGTAGTGCCGGTTCTCCGTCTGGTACTCAATATGAGCAACGTTGATTGTAATTCCTCTTGCCTTCTCTTCCGGAGCGTTGTCAATGTCGGCATACTTCTTGCTTTCGGCCAAATCCTGATCGGCGAGCACCTTGGTAATCGCAGCCGTCAGGGTAGTCTTGCCGTGGTCGACATGCCCAATCGTACCGACGTTGCAGTGCGGTTTGTCTCGCTTGAACACTACCTTCTCGGCGTAGAATCGTTTCTGGGAGATGGTAGTTGGTCGGATCACATTCAGGCTGGCGCCGGTGTTAAACAAGAACTGGGTCAGAGTCTTGCGAACCACTGTATGGGGGAATGATTACAAAATTAACCTCACTTTTGTATTTGGGTATCTTCCGGGACGAAGGAAAACAAGTTGCATAAAGGTACAGAAAACCGCTTACCTGGGTTGACAATTGCACGTAACGCAACGTAGGTGGACATGTTGGCGTTTGTTGCACTCCTATTTATCACAATTTGATGAGAAAACACGGAAAATCTAGTTTTAGTTGCAGCAAGTGAAAATTTTTGGTTTTCTTGCGCAAGACCTCGCCTCTGTCTCTGGCTGTCTCGGGATAGGTTGCCGTGTGATTTTGACGTTTCTTACGACTTTTCGGGTTTAGTGGATTCTGGCCCAGTAGTCGAAAAGTACTGTGGATCGCGTTCTGGGTGTATGGATTTTGCTCTAGCCGAAAGGTGTCTTGATCGACTTTTTTTTTCTTTCCCATATGTGGCACAGACCTATCGACTTCTTTAATATGTGACGCTCAGAAATTGTTTGACAGCATCAAAACAAACGCGCCGACATCTTTGAAAATGCGTAATGCTTGCAAAAAGTTTTAGTGGGTTTTTCGTGAAAATTTAAGCGATTCTTACGTTTGTTTGTAATATTGTGGTGTAAAATCTAATTTTGGTAGTGAAGCAAAGTTCAGGTGAGCAAAGATTTGCGGAATTTGTGTGTGAAGGCGCGTAAAAATCGCATGCAAAATAAGCACCACGAAGTGATTTTTGTTTACAAACTTAAAACTGCAATCGGATTGTTTTTTTTTTCCTCAGCAAAATGCATCGTCGTGGGGGAAAGCGCATTCGAATGGATGAACCGCCGCCGGATTTCGACGAACCTCTCGAGGCACCGTTTCATAGGTAAGAGTCGGGCAGGTGGATAAAAGCATTTTTGGTTTGACCTATTTTCATTCCGAACAGTGAGCCGCACAACGAGAGCTGGTCCTCTGGTGGAGCTGGCGAGGGTCCTTCGGAAGAGCACCAACATCCGGAGGAGGAAGGTAGTGGCCGTCCCGGTGGTCGGATGACCCGTTTGCGGGCCCGGGGAGGTGTACCGCTGAAGGCTCCGATCATCGATGACGACGATGATGATATATTTTTCGGAACCAGATTCGAGGTAAATCAGCAGCAGCAGCAGCTGCAAGGTTTGCAGCACAAGAAACGGAAGGCTCCCAGAAAACCGAGAGGGGATGCGGCTCCGAAGGAACCGCGGGAGAAGAGAGAACGGGTCTATCATGACCACGAGGAACGCGTGGTGGTGACGGACCGTGAAAGTACGACCGATGAGAGCAGTTTGTATTTCATACTGCGCCACTCGAAGTCGGCCATTACGGGAATAGTCGACGATTGGATCGAAAGTTACAAGTTGGACAAGGATTCGGCCTTGATTGCGTTGATGAACTTTTTTGTCCACGCGAGTGGTTGCAAGGGGAGGATTACTCCTGAGATGCAGCAAACCATGGAGCACACGGCAATCATCCGGAAGATGACCGAGGAGTTCGACGAGGACAGTCACGAATATCCGCTGATAATGCCCGGGCAGCAGTGGAAGAAGTTCAAGATGAACTTTTGCGATTTCGTACAGACACTGGTCAAGCAGTGCCAATACTCGATCATCTACGATCAGTTTCTCATGGACAACGTAATTTCGCTGTTGACGGGCTTGTCGGATTCGCAAGTTCGGGCATTCCGGCACACCGCAACCTTGGCAGCAATGAAGCTGATGACCGCACTGGTCGATGTGGCTCTGCTCGTGTCGGTCAACTTTGACAACGCAGCTCGCCAGTACGACGCGGAACGGCTGAAGCCTCGCGACAAACGGGCGCCGGATCGTTTGGAATCGCTGATGGCCAAGCGGACGGAGCTGGAGGAGAATATGGACGAAATCAAGAACATGCTGACTTATATGTTCAAGTCGGTATTCGTGCATCGCTACAGGGACACGCTGCCGGAGATCAGAGCGATTTGTATGTCGGAAATCGGCATCTGGATGCAGAAGTTTTCCCAGAACTTTTTGGATGATTCGTACTTGAAGTACATCGGTTGGACGTTGCACGATAAGGTTGGGGAAGTTCGGTTGCGGTGCTTGCAGGCTCTGTTGCCTTTGTATGAGAACGAGGAGCTGAAGGGCAAGTTGGAGCTGTTCACGTCCAAGTTCAAGGACCGCATCGTGGCAATGACGCTGGATAAGGAGTTTGATGCTGCCGTTCATGCGGTCAAATTGGTCATCAACATCTTGAAAATCCACCAGGACATCCTGACCGATAAGGATTGCGAAATCGTGTACGAGTTGGTCTATTCGTCGCATCGTGGCGTGGCTCAGGCCGCAGCCGAGTTTCTGAATGTCCGCCTGTTCTGCTTGGACGCCGATGCTCAAGCAAACTACACCAAGCGGGGCAAAAAGCGTCTGCCCAACACTCCGCTGATTCGAGATCTAGTGCAGTTCTTCATTGAATCCGAGCTGCACGAACACGGCGCATATTTGGTGGATTCGTTCATCGATAGCAACCCGATGGTTAAGGACTGGGAGTGTATGACGGATCTGCTGCTAGAAGAACCGGGACCCTTGGAGGAAACGTTGGATAACAAGCAGGAATCGACCTTGATTGAGATCATGGTTAGCGCCGTCAGACAGGCAGCCACTGGAGAACCCCCGGTGGGCCGTGGAAGCAGCAGAAAGATGACCTTGAGTGCCAAGGAGATCAAACAGGTCCAGGATGATAAGCAAAAGTTGACCGAACATTTCATCCACATGCTGCCGTTGCTGTTGAACAAATACAGTGCGGACAGTGAGAAGCTCACGAACCTGCTGGCGATTCCGCAGTACTTTGACTTGGAGCTGTACACAACCACCAGACAGGAGGCAAATCTCCAGGCCCTGCTGGACAAAATGACCCACATCATGTCGATTCACGTCGATCGTGAAGTTCTGGAGACTTGCTCAAAGACATTCGAATTCCTGTGCACCGAAGGCAGTGCCATCTACACCCGCTGCGACGTGGCCAGATCGAACGTAATCGACGAATGTGTCAATCGCTACAAGGAGGCCATCGACGATTATCGCAACCTGATCGCCGGCGAAGAAACTCCCAACGAGGATGAAATCTATAACGTCAACATCAGCCTCAAAAAGGTTTCCATCTTGTATTCGTGTCACAATTTGAATCCCTGGAATCTGTTCGACTCTCTGTACCAAGACATCGAGGAAAGTCTGTCGGAAAACGCCGGCGACAACGGCATTCCGCACGAAGCTTTGGTCTACTGCATCGAGGCGTGTGTCTTCTCCATCAATTGGGGGTTGTATTTCCTGGAGAACACCATGGACCGATCAGCTGCCTCCGAAGTGGACGAACTGGCCCAGAATCTGCAAAAGTACATGAACGCTTGCAACGAGCTGATGCACTACGAGGTGGCCCCAACTGTGCAGGAAGCAGCCTACATGTCCATCTGCGACTTGCTGATCGTGTTCAGCGATCAACTGGCCACCCATCCGAACGAAAACATCCGCAAACTGGTGTACATTCCAAGCCCGGAACAGCAAACCCTGCTCAACGAATTCGTCCAGGCGAATGTATTCTCCACGGAACAGGAGGAAGGCCACGACGAAACTCGCATCGAGGAACTGCACAAGAGGAGAAACTTTTTGGCTGCCTACTGCAAGCTGATTGTCTACAACATCCTTCCCATGAAATCAGCTGCTGACATTTTCAAACACTACTTAAAGGTGCTTACGCAATCAACCCTTTCCACGCAATTCCCACTCTCACCCGGTCTCTTTTTTGTTCCCAGTGCTACAACGAGTACGGTGACATCATCAAGACCACCCTGGGCAAGACCCGCGAAATCAACAAGATCAACTGCGCCATGACCATGTGTCTGAGTTTAATCAACATCTTCAAGGACATCCAAGATGCTTCACCGGGGGGTCGGGTTTCGAGAAACTCCCAGGAATTCCAAGATCTCAAGGAATTGGCCAAGCGCTTTGCCCTTTCCTTCGGACTGGATGCGGTTAAGAATCGAGAAGCCATCACGGTGTTCCATCGGGCGGGCATTCTTTTCGCCGTAACGATCCCGAACGATGCCAACGAAGATCCATCGGCACCGCCGCCGTGCATCGCCTTCCTGGAGGTGTTGGCCGAACTGACCAACAAGCTGATCAAGCAGGACAAGAAACTGATGTAGTGCAACAATTTACCGTTCGGAAAAATTCGGAACCTCAAAGGATTTTCCATGTTTTCTTTCCTTTCAGTCTCAGCTTCATGGAGCGCCGGTTGAATGCGGGTATTCCGTCGAGCCGATCCGAAGACTGGCAACCGCTGATGTCGTACAAAAATTCGCTGCTACATGGCGAAACCGACCAGATGCCGGTCACATCCAAGCGGGCGTACTCGCGGAAGAAGAAGGATTACGACCACGAGGACGACGAGGAACACGACGATGAAGACGATCAGGATTATGTTGCGTAAAGTTTGTGGAGAGCAATTTACTCGTATAAAATTCGGTGGCATTTTTGTCGAATTATAACAATAATATTATATCTATATAAATTATATGTAGTAGTGCGGGTGTTGTTAGATTTCAGTGTGGTTGTGGATGACATCCAGGGTGGATTGTGCTACATTACCCCAAAATTTCCCATAACTTTAGTCATCAACAGAATTCCGCAAAGTGATGTATTGAGCTTTTGTAGGTTTTGTAACTCAAATCTGTATCTCTTATGCATCACGAATTAGAGCGGGCAGAACTCGTTACTGTTTTTCAGTGAATGTAAAATACATGGAAAGACATTCTTGAAAGTCCACAAATTTATGTTTCTGTACACCAATACAGACCAATTTTTGGAAGTTATTTTTACGATTGTGTCGTACGATTGGCTTGCATGAATCGTTGTGAACAGGTGTTGCTTTCGCTCACGGAGAATTTGTGGACTTTCACACTCTAATAGCGTATTTCGTTTGTATCGAAGCACTCACAGTTTGTTCTGAGCCTTACATGAAAATTCAGTGGAATCGAAATCAATTTCAATAATTACAGAAAGTCTTGAGCACCGCTGAAAGAAAACAGAGGTTTGTAGTTTGTACATAGTGAAAAAAAATCTATACATAAGTGAATTGTAATTCGAAATTTTAAACTGTTCTTCAACATGAAACAGGTAAATATGGAGAAGAAGAAGCGTAATTCGCTGAGCCTCAAGGATAAAGTAAGCATTCTTCGAAATCTGGAGGACAAGGGAAAGACAAAGGCAGACATCGTTCATAAGTTCAACATCCACCCGACAACTGTACGAAAAATACAAAAGAACGCAGAATCTATACTTCGAGCAGCTTCAAACCGGAACTGTCGGCGAACTACCAACTTCAAATATGTTTCGTCAGGTGCGTACAAGGATTTGGAAAACACTTTGTTCTTGTGGTTCCTTAATCAAAGGAGTGCTAACAAAACTGTATCGACGACAATGATCATTTTCAAAGCCAAGTCATTTTCTGCACGTTGTGGTGTTCCTGAATCTTTCAAGTTTTCACGGCATTGGATTCAAAATTTTAAGATTAGATATGGAATTCAAAATCTGTGGGGAAGTACTGTCAAGTGATTCAGGAAGCATTTCAAGCTTCCTTGAACAATTTCACGAGGAAATTATGCGGCGTGAACTGACAGCACAAATGATTTATAATGTGGATGAGTCAGGCTTGTTTTTCAAAATGCTTCCATCTGAAATACTCGTTGGCCCTAGTGAACAAAATGCTCCAGACCGAAAAATTATCAAGCAACTCATAACTTTCTTGCCCTGCAGTAATGTTACAGCCGACCACAAACTACGGATGGTAATCATCGGAAAATCTCGCAATCCTAGGGCATTCAAAAATGTTAAGCTACCCGTCACCTATCTTGCATCCAAAAACGCCTGGATGACCCGCGAGCTGTTCCAAACTTGGTTCCACAGTGACTTTGTGCCATCAGTACGCAAATTTTCAAATGAACATAGCATTCCACCGTAAGCTATTCTACTGTTGGACAATTGCTCAGCGCATCACCTAAATGACGAGCTTAAAACTGATGACGGTATGATCACGGTGTACTTTTTGCCTCCAAATGTGACAGCCATGATCCAACCCATGGACCAAAATATCATTCAAAACTGCAAGCTACGATATCGTGAAAAGCTTTTGCTTAATGTTATGGCTCACAGTAACGAAATTGACATAGACCAATGTTTGAAGCAAATTTCATTGAAGGATGTATGTTTCTGGATGCACGATGCCTGGACTGAATTGCGAAGTACAGTGATCCAACAGACCTGGAAAAAAATCGGTATCATTTTCGATGATAAGCTGGTTTATGAAGACGATGTTCCCCTTTCATTTTTGCTGAACGTCAAAAATCACGAGGATACCATCATCATGCCACATAATACGGAGGAGCGCTATGCTAGTAAAGCATACACGGATGAAGACATTTTGAAAATGGTGCTGGATGATCAGTCAGCAATGGAAGAAGCACTGGAACCAGAACTAAACCTGTCGGAAACAGCATCAGATTCAGAATCAACAGCATCGACCTCTCATGAACTAAGTGAATCACCTGGAGTTATCAACGATATTGAAGCAGTACGCATGTTTGACAAAATAATTGATTGGGCTGATTCCTCAACTCTCTCAATCGTACGACGCATTAGGGAGCTTGCTACGAAGAAATCGATTGAAGTGGCTCGTCATGCACATTTTCGGTTATGTTTTTAATAATGAAGTGTTGTTTCTTTTATATCATTGACTGAAGGTTCGAATGTAGTTGAAATTTCATCTGGAGAATAAAACATAAAATCTCATATTTTTTGTATTACATCGCAATTGTCACTGGTTTCTGCTAAAAATCATGAATCTGTTAACCTACACAGTTTTGCACAAAACGTCTTTAGAATTACAACTCGACAATCTAAGGCTTTAGTTTTAATCAATTTTCAAACATAAACCCTTCTAATTGAACTTTTCTAACCTTTAAACAACTCAAGACCCTCATATGGGATGGGTGTACACCTACATCCTAAAAGATGTTTCTAAATAAACCTTAGCAAAGTTGAACTTTCCCGAAGATGTTGTCAGTTTGCGGGCGCCTACAAAGGTTTGTTTAAAAAAAGCTTGTAGATCTTGAACGTTAGATTGATTCAGAAACATAGTTTACATGCAAACATATGTCAGTCAGTACAACTGTACTTTATTCACATTGCACACACGTCGCAAGTTTAGTTCCAGATGCAATAAAGAAGTAGCCATTTTCATGGGCGTTTTGGGTCCAATGAATTACGTAAGTTTTCAAATGAACACGCTGAGGTTTTGCTGATTCCAGATTTTAACACACACACACACACACACACCACGCATACATAACGTACATAATTTTCAACTAGCCCCTCAACCCCCCTCCCCCCTGCTTTGATCTTGCCACCACTGCACATTTAATTCTCGAAAAATGTCATTATTGAGCTCGACAATCAATAAAATACGAATACGACTGTACAAAACAGTCCACCTCAACCAAAACTAATTGAATCATATAGGCTGACAAAATCGGGTCAAAAAGCTGACAAAATCGGGGGTGGACAAAATCGGGGGTAGACAAAATCGGGTCACCACTGTACTAGAATTTCGACTAGAAGGGGGTACGTTTATGGATGTACTTGGAACCAATAGGCTAGTCAAGTAGTAAGCCAACTTAAAATCGTTAATTGGGTTAACTTCGAAAAATATAGCGATTTTTGTACATTATCTGATAGAGCCATAGAGGTAACTCTAAGAGCACTGGGTCCCGAAGAAAATCATTATTATTTTTGGCTCACTCAGTACCAGAACAACGGTCCCAAGCAGTCCCAACCTATTTCACTCACCCCTGCATGTTCTGCATGAATCCACACACCCCTGATGTTATCTGTCAAACTTTCATAGCTAATCAAAACAAACATAGTGTAGTAATAGCATAGAGGTAACTCTAAGACAAGAAGGTCCCGAAATAATGTGCTCAACTTTTTGGCTCAGCTCTGGTACTCTCTTCGGTCCCAAGCTAATGATTCACCCCTCGAAACATAGGAATATCCAATAACCCCTCATTTTATCTGTCAAACTTTCATAGCGAATCAAAACAAACATAGTGTAGTACTAGAATTTCGACTAGAATAGGGTACGTTAATCGTTTGCTTGGGACCAATAGGCTACTAAAGTGGTGAGCCAATTTAAAATCGTTAGTTTCGTATTGATTGTTGGTAATAGAATTTCAACTAGAATAGGGTACGTTAATCGTTTGCTTGGGACCAATAGGCTACTAAAGTGGTGAGCCAATATAAAATCGTTAGTTTCGTATTGATTGTTGATAGAGCTTCGTTTTCTGAGCACGATATTTTTATCGATCCCGTAGACATTCATCTCGATTTTTAAATCAAGATTTAAATTTTTGATCGTTGACACTAAATCGCTAAATCTATTGATTTTTGCTAATGTAATCGTACTTATTAAAAATAGTTCAAGTGTACGAAAATTGAAGAAATTTTGAATTTCGGTTCCATTTTTAATGCAGATAACGAATATGTATTTACCTCAATACCCCTAAACAACCCAATTTCCGCCGGTTGGTTTTAGCAACCGGTGAACACTCGTGTTTATTTCAGCTATTTCATCTATGGCGGTAAGCTCCAACTCGGATTAACTTTTAATACCGTCCCTGTTTGTATGATCTGAAAAATGTTTGCTCAGAGTTATGTTCATTAACTCTGATGTCAACATCAAACCAGCCGGACATTCTTAATCGGGATTTAATCCGAGGATAATACCGGTTGGAGCTTACCACCACTAGTGATGGCCGATTCTCATTCGAATAACCGATTAATCGATCGATTAACGAACCAAACAGTAGATTATTTCTAATCGATTATATCATGCCGATATAAGCATTAACTTCTCCAGATGATCATCACCCATCGTTTCAAACATGTGCTGCACTCTCATTGGTGGAAAAATGGCAGCACAGCGAACAAAAAAATAATCGATTAGTTGTTAATCGAGTAATAATTAAAAGATGGGACATCTCTGATTTTGGTGTGATTGTTTTGATAAAAATGAGCGCAAAATTTCATCTCTACCGAGGGGGCAGCAAAATCACAAAATTACCTTCATCTTTGGTTTTAGTGTGACTATTATACTAAAGCTTACCCGCATAAACGCGAACCATAAATTGACCTTACCTAAAATGGTTAAAAATTGTTTATAATCCATGCTAAACTTTAACTGAAATGGTTATGGAACTTTACATGAACGTTTAATGATAAAGTTTCAACCTTATGTATTATGGTTTTTTGGAACTGGACCTTACAAATAATGGGTTGTTAAGAACCATTACCATTCCAAATTCTTGTTTTCTCCATACATTTTCAGAAAGAGAACTATACACAGCAAAAAAAAAAGTAATATCGATCAACGTAATTCAAGCTGATGTATGGTAGTCAGTAAGGTCCATGAATAGTTTTGTAACATCGATCAACTTTATGTGGAATATATCGCGAATTGGTTGCCTGTAAATTCCTGATTACCAATTCACGATATATTCCACGTAAAGTTGAGCGATAATACAAAACCATTAATGGACCTTACTGACTATCATAACCATAACCATTAATGTTCTCAAACCATAAGTAAAAACGTTCTAATATAGTTCTCTTTTCGAAAATGTATGGAGAAAACAAGAATTTTGAATGGTAATGGTTCTTAACAACCCATTATTTGTGAGGTCCGCTTTCCAAAAACAATAATACATAAGGTTAAAACTTTATCACACAAACGTTCATATAAAGTTCCATAATCATTTCAGTTAAAGTTTAGGAGGGATTATAAAAAATTTATAATTATTATCGGTAAGGTCAAGTTATGGTTCGCGTTTATGCGGGTAGCTATTAATCTATGTAGATTTAAAATATTTTGAGTGTATACATGATGCCTTTTCGACCATTCGAACGGTCACCGTTTCGTGCCGATCACACCGTCATTAATGTCATCCGAAATAGGATTGGGCGATCTTCAGGGAAAGATCGATCTTGAAAGATCGATTTTATATTTGGCTCTACTTAAGATCGATCTAATAAAAATTTTATGATTAATTTGCTTAACGACGTGTTGGGATATCATCCAAACCATTTGTGGAATAGTTCAATCCTTTGGGTAATCGTTCGTTTATGGACATATTTTTATGAGGGCGATCCACTGATTAGATCGATCTTTTGATTTTTATTTTAATACAATTGTTTACGGTGGTACCTCAAGAAACCACCGTTTATAATATTCAATTAAATGTTGTTGTGACGATAAGGAGTAATGAGCACAGCAGGGAGATAGCACAAACCTTCAAATGTTGCTGATGTATTCGTAAATATCGGAAACGCAAATAGTGACGTCATTGTAGGGAGCAGTGCTGCACAATCTCGACAGTACACGGTGATATTGACAATTCTGCTTTGGTCACTCATTTGAGCTAACAGTCATAGTCAAGGCAAACCATGTCAATTGTCAATGACAATGGTGTCAGTGACGAACATGTGCAGATTTGTTTATTAGCTGAATTTGTAACGAAATTAAATGACTTGAGCTAAAGAATTACATGGATCCATTTTAATGAACAAGTATCTACGTCCTGAGCTAATTGGATAACAATAATGTGACACAGAATGTACTAAATTACACTTTTTGTTACCAGGTGAATCTTTGTCATTGACGAAAAAATGAATGAGATTTTGACGAAGGTTTTTTTGAGGATCAAGTCTGTCAGTGACTATGTGACGAACAATTTTGTCAATATCGCGCGAAAGTCTGTCAATGACAATGACAAATCTCAGCACTGGTAGGGAGCGATGTTATGTTTGTAAAAATTAGAGAAAATCATTTTTTCGATGCAAAAACATTTAAAAAAATTATTGCTGATTGCATCTGAAACTGAACTGTCCCAAAAATGCAAAAAGTGTGATAAAAGTGCACGTTTCCGTCAAATCATTTTGATGCCTTCGGAGCACTTATTGGTTGCATCATAAGGAATAAGTGCGCCGAAGACACCAAGGCGATCAGACGTAAACTTGCAGTTTTATCACACTTTTTAATAAGTGAATACGCGCTTATTAGTCCAATTTGGTGTGAAACGCGCAATTATACCTTTTTTTTGTTAAGCTCGAGAAGATCGAAAAAAGAGATCTATTTTTTCGATCTTTTCGTGGACAAAGAATCGATCCGAAAAATCGGAAACCGGGATGAAAAAGATCGATCTGCCAAAGATCGCCCAATCCTAATCCGAAAGCAAAAAAATAATGACAGTTGATTCGTTTTTGTTTATACTCTTTGCGACGCAGCCGCGCACCGCACATCGGCCGCGCACAGCTGCCCGGCCCCGCTCAGGTTCCTGATGGTGGAAGGCTGCTCCATGGTGGGTATATAAATGGTGATACAGCTTTGTCACTATATAGGCGAGGAGGTCGCGGGGGGGGGGAAAAGTGCGGTTTTAGAAGGTTTTAGAGCAAATTGTAAACAAACTCGGTCGCTGTCCCATACAAAAATCCAACATAGCTGAATCATGAATTTGACACATTAGAACACCTATATGTAGTTACCTTGGGCTGCTCTGCCCGTGTTTTTCGCGTTTCGTTCAAGCATCGCGGCGCAGCCGAATGTATTATCGGACGTCGGTCGGATCGGCGGCGGAGACGGACGACAGACAGAACGTATTCTACGACCGAACGTATCGGACGTGTGCAAATCTTTGCCCGTGTCGTCGTGTGAAAAAGAAGCTTTTGCTTCTGGCTTTTCTTTCATTTTTTATTGGGCTGGAAGTGATGTGTTGTTGCAGTAGCAGCTTATTAGAGGTAACCCAGCCGGAAGAACCTCTCCAATCGGAGCCTCAAAAAGGTTTTTCGGTTTATTGGATATCGATGGTGAAGAGATTCGTCGTTTCGGGGGCGATTTTGGAGTGAAATCGGATGATTTATTGTCCATAAAGTGTAGATGTACTGGAGGTGAAAAGAATTCATATTCCCCAAAGCAGCGTCTACAATGGGCTAGCCTTTTGTGACCCGGAGGATTGGATGGAAGACAGTCGAAAAGTGCGATAAGAAAATAGTGTTTTATTTTTTTTCTGTTCGTGATGTACAAATTTCTGCATAATTGAGAGAAAACAAGAAGCAGTGTAAAAATAGCACCCAGTATTGGTGTGCGGTGTTGTTTATTCAGTGAAAACGAAGCAGCAAGAACCACGGACTGGTGATAACACCCACCAAGACCCAAGATGACACCGCGTTGAAGCTGGAATTAGAAAGTTGCCGAATAAAGAACAGCATCCGAGCCGAGTGACACAGATCGGGATTACCACTATCATCAACCGCGAATCATCTCGCCCGTGTTTCATTTGACAGTGTTTGCTTTTTGTTCTGTTGGCCTTCCCTGCGTGGGAGGCACTCCGTGCTGGAATCTGGTAGATCTTTTTAGTTTGATGCAAATGCGACTGAATAGAATCGGCTTGATTTGATTTGCCTTGTTAAGATTGAATGGATAAGCGGAATCTTATGTGTAGCTATAGAAATGAAAAACGCAAGTTTGCTTCATTTGGAGAATATTAAACCATTTTTCTAAATAGGCATGACGACTTCAGATAGACTTACTTACGTGATAGAAGGGTGGCGGGTAGCAAGCATATAGGTAAACAAGACAAGCATACTGCAATCGTGGCTCTCGACCCGGGTATGCCGCTCGATGTGTGTTGTTTATGTAACAGAGCTTGTTTGCTTCCTGGCTCTTGCAATCTGCTCTGACTTGTGCTGGAAAAGTTTGCAATCTTTGATTAGGAGAGGCAATAAGCTAAAGGCTTTTAATTGAAAGCGATTAGATTAGCGTACTGTTTGTATGGTCATGGTTCGTTGGACATTATTTCGATAAGTTGCCCAAACTGCCTAAACTGTTGACCTAGCCCAGTAACGCTGGTAGATCACCTTTTCCTAGGCTCTTCTTGTTGACGGTTATGAGTCTCGGTTTTTGGATTGCAAACAAGAAAAGGTTCGGGTTAGGGTTCTGCTGCATGGTCAAATAAGAAGACCCTTGTTTGATCGGTGAGAAGGTGCGTATTTGGAGAGTTTTAAGAATTTTTTGAATGAACGGAACACCACAGTTGAATGAGGATTCATGTGAGAAGATGATTTTACTGTATCGTAAATTAATACCTCATTACTTTTCCATGGTAATGAGGTACAACGACATGCACTAAACAAAGAACACGGACATATCACAAAAGATCAAGGTATTGGTCGCAGTGAGTATGATCCGTACAAATCAAACTGGAATATGCGAAGATTTCTTATGGGTGGTTCTTATTCGAAGAGAGCTTTAAATAATTCAAGAAGATATAGCTGCGTCAATCCATCCAAATATATTGATGCTTTTTTTCTCTGAAGTTCGCTGAGATTTGATTTCCTAAACCTCTCTTATGTTGGCAAAGCTTATCCGAGGTTCCCTGAACTTTTCTGAAATTATCTGAACAGCTTTGAAGTACGCTGAGCTTCTCTGAGTTTCCCTGGATTTTACTCAAGAGTTACAAAGTTTCTCTGAAGTTTCTTAAACTTTTTTTTTGTTCCAGTGCTTTCGGAGGTATCTTAAATTCTTGTTGAAGTTCTCTGATATGTCTAAAGTACGTTGAACTTCTCTGATTTTATTAAAGAGAAAATGGGACGACATTTTTTTTAATTTTTCAATGAAAATGTGTTCACTGTGTTCCACTTGGCAAGTAGAAATCAGTGAACACATTTTCAGCCACAGCTTAAAATGCTTAACAGTATTTATTGAGAGCTTTCTGTGCTAATTGATGGGAATTTTCTTTAATTCAGGGAAATATATCTCAATCCTTATTCATAACTGCATTACAAACTATAATGATATCACCAATCATGTAGGAAAGTGAAATAATTTTTTTTAGAAGGCTAAGCCTTGACCAGTCAAAGTTCTTGAACTAGAAACATATTTTAAAGACCATTGCTTTAAGGTTCTGAAACGTGACGTATTTAAGTGACAAGGTTTCGTATTTCAGAAAATTGTTTTTAAAATCTACGGCTTAAAAACAAGATTTTGGATCATATGAGTTTCAACGAATTACCTACTGATCAATATTTGTAATGTTCTAAACCAGAAAGGTTTGCAAGATGTTGCACACATGACTTTTTTTTAGTTTTGCAATCAGTTTTGTTTAAGGTGATACTCTAAGGAAGCCTTAGCGTGAAACTTTAAAGGCACAAATGTCAGCTTCCACAAAACATACAAATTTGAAATTGTTACTCCTTGTTTGCTGTGCTACTACAAAAGTTAGAGGATGTATCTAAGATACGACCGTTGATTTGACGTAGCTCGTGCTCGGTATCAATATTCGGCGACTGTGTTAGGGAAACCATTTCTTCCCATTACGGAAGTGCCTTGTTTTCTGATGACAAAAGTTACGCATTTTCGTGCATAAGACGCACGGAATTTTTGGTTTATTCAATCCAGCTTTCCACACTCGGCAATGGCGTCCTGTAGGTATGAATAAATGTATCCTTCACTGTGGTTTTTGGCACTAACTGGAGGGCGTATGTTATTTAATTTTCCTCTGTTCATGGGAGAGGGAAAGGCAGGTATGACAACACGAACCTCCAGTTAATGTCAAAACCACAGTGAATGATGCATTTATTGATACCACACTGGACGCCTTTACCGAGCGTGGAAAGCTGGATTGATAATAAAAAAATGCGAAAATTGATCGGAGGAATTTCTTGCTCAAATGTTCCAATCGCGATCAGTCATTCATAAATTCAGGATTTATTTGCTTTTTTTGCTGCGTCCTGGAGAAAACATTACCTTAATTCTAAAGGCCCAAACGCAATGTGGGCGGAAGCGGAACGGAAACGGAAAGTTTGACAGTTGTCACAAATGACATCAAGCTGCCTAGTCGAAGTCGATTTGGTTCTAACTTGTTTTCAATCCGACAAGTAGGCTTACTCTGATCGAGCTTTTCCGCTGCCGCTGCCGTTCCGCTTCCGCTGCCGTTCCGCTTCCGCTGTCATTGCGCTTGGGTCTTAAGTGTTTCTGGTTAATTGACAAGAGCATGTAATATCCAGCTTTCCATGCTCGGTAATGGTGGCCTGTTTGTATGAATAAATGTATCCTTCACTGTGCTTATTGACACTAACCAGAGGGCGTATGTTGTTCCATTTTTCTCTGTCCCTGTGAGAGGCAAAGGGAAAGGGAGGGGTCAAAGTCCGAACATCCAGATAGTGTCAAAAAGCACAGTGAAGGATACATTTATTCATACAAACAGGCCGCCATTACCGAGCATAGAAAGCTGGATTCGGTTATAGCGAAAAAAATTTGTAACACGTTTGGTTGCTCGGTACATTATCAAAGAGCTTTGGGGGTGACGTAGCTGGCAGCACAAGCGAGCGAAAGTTGAATGAAAATTAACTCTTAAACAACAATAATTTACGGTGGTCCTGAAAAGAACCGTTTTGTCGCGATGGTTGGAGTAATGCTTAGCTATTAGAGTGTTCAACACGGATGAGGCTGGCGAGCTGTATGTTGTTTGGAACGAGGGTGACGCGCTTGGCATAGCTGGCCCATAGCGGCTAATGACGAGCAACTGAATCCGATCAGTAGCGGTGCGGCTTCTTCCTCCTTCTTCGGTGAATCGAGGGCTCCTGAGGGCAGCCTTGATAACTAGCTGCTGCGGGCAGCCTTTCGTTGTGTACTGGGGAGAACAGTGTTCAACGCCACGCGCCGAAAGCACTGCTGTTGCTGCTGATAACGACCGGCCGGACACATACGGTGATTGAATAAGCACCGTTTGGCGAGACCGGATGGAATTCGATTTCGAAATCTGTGCTAGGAAAAACGCTTTTTGCAGGCTATCGGAGATAATTTTGATCACCATTGCAACAGTTGGACATTTGTGCAATTTTCAATAGTAACCTGATAAAATGTTCATTTTAGCATATTCGTAGAACATTTTTCAATCGATTGGGCTTGTTTAGAATTAAAACCCATTCACTATTGACCACTTTTCGTAACGCGGTCGATTTTAGTTTTTTGAAATTGCACCCCCAATATGTTACCCATAGACGTAATCCTACGTAAAAAAAAAACAAAGATGCGGGTCATTAGAAAGAATATCGGAGCTCGGACTTGTCCTGAATTTTATAAATTTTTATGATCCTGGAAAAATATCATGATAACAGGTTCTAGACTAAGAAACATTTGCAAGATTCTAAACTAAGACATATATGATGTGGGGTTTGAAAAATTACTTCAAATATAATGAATCTGTATCCTGGAATTGAATCAAAACAATCCGTCATAGAAAAATTAAAAATGATCAGCTTCCAAAACCCATATCAAAATTTGAGTTGACGGAATTGAGAAAGTGGAATATGTTGTAACTTGCAATTAGAATGCACACCACTGCCCATGTGAACTGTCCAGCCTATGCGGTGACTACGAAACAGGATTCGGTGGCCTTTGAACAGGTTTCGGAGGCACCGCAAATGTGGCCAATTAAATTGTATTTATCAATTTATAATTTTCATAGAACCAATTCATGCGTCATATAAAAATTCGAAGAATTTCATTAATAATTCATCAGAGGCCATGCCAATATGTCCATGGCAACATTGGCCATCCGGTGGAAAGTTGACAAATTTATAATTTTTATATGACCAAACCGTGCGACCAACCGGTGGAAACTAACGATTTTAAATTGGTTCACTACTTGACTAGCCTATTGTTCCCAAGTAAATCGTTTAACGTACTCCATTCTACTCGAAATTCTAGTACTACACTATGTTTGTTTTGATTTGCTATGGAAGTTTGACAGGTAAAATGAGGGGTTCGTGGATTTTCCAAGGGGTAGGTCACTCAGCACAGTGTGCCAAAAACACAGTAGAGCACACCATAGCTCACTCATTTGGCACCCATGTTACATATTTTTTGTGATCTCTAAAGTAACTGGGTGAGGATGTGTCAAAATTTGATTGTTGACACAAACAATTTTCGGTATCCGCAACAGATAATTTCGCCGGAGCCTCGAACTCACCCT